CCATATTTCTGTTGACATTGAGTAATTAGGGTTTCTGTGGTTCCTCCTGACAGCCAATTTCGCTCACATATATGTCGAAAAACTTGTCAGACAACGGTTTACGATTCTCGATTCAACCATTTTCGAACACCTGGCGCATTGTTTACATTAAATATTAGACTGTCGTTCGTCAGCGCTAGTGCAAAGTTCGAAAATAGCCTTGTGGGATTGAACTTTTGTTCCAAAGAATTCCAAATTCTCCAGTATGAAGGTATCGGCAACTGCATCGAATGCTGTGTACCCATCCACTTGCTCTTTTTCCATTCAATCAGAGTTGTGCAAAAAGGAATGAAATGAAGATTGCGCGAATGGTTGCCAGAGATTACGCGATGATTGTATTTATTGGATACGATGTAACGAGTCATCTCAGTTGTAGTTTTTATGCAAGGAGCAATTACGAAATATCCTCATAACTCCGGTTGCTGAAAATGTATTCGAAACAGGGATTAGAGCACTGTCAGAATCGATTGTTTATTGCATTGCTAGTGAATTATGAGTAAACAATTTTTACGGAGTAATGCAAACCTCAGAGAAGCATTAAATAGCGATCAGATCACTATCAAAACGAAAAAAGGTAATGTTACAGTAATCCAAAACATATCTACAATTGCTTTAATTCAGCTAGACTTTTTCTATGAGCGTTTCTTATACTTTCTAGGCGCGGCGGCAGCTGCGTTAGACGGTGTCCCCTATATCCTGATCCTGCGTTAGCAACTCTGCATCACGGAAGAAAACTTCAGTATGAGGTAGAGTCAATCAAGGTACTTGCAACATTTCATTAATGACCTCTCCAGCAGTGTTCGGTCAGTCTTTTGAGCAAATGACGTCTGTTTCGCTTTCATTTCTGGAAGCAATCGCGAATCTGATGACAAATATTTACCAGGTTTCTGAATCTTGAATTTTGTCGAGAACCGTGAGCCCATCTATAAGACCTATTTCAACAGCTTGCAGCATGAATGGCAGTTTTTCAGTGATGAACAACGATTCACGATCACGGGAGCCGAGTTGCTTTGGTGAATGAAGATCGACTTGAATGTAGACAGCTTCTCCTTCGGACTAAGTTCAAGAATAACTTGGCTCGCCATTCCAAATCACCGGTCGATCGACCTCTTCCTCCTTTTTTTCCCGTCTCTTGTAATCACGCGTGAGCCTCTGCGCTGTTCCACTGCAACAGGCAAAGGAATGAGTAGGCACAAACTCATTTTGGTTTAGCCACATTCGTATGCATGTCGGCCGCGTTGCACTCGGCTGCCAACCTTTGCAGCGATCAGTTTTGCACGATGCCAAAAAAACCAAGGTCGTTTGCAAACAGCAAACTTATAGTCTCGTCATATTTTACCCTGATACACTCGTCATCCTTGCAGAGAGGCTCTTATATGCATGTGCAACAGAAACAGGTAATTGAACAAAAAAACAAAACTCATGCTTCGCTTGGATCATTTGGAACGTTAAAAATAGACTAAACTCAATTTATTCTGAGGTAGTACCTGTTCTCAACTTATATCCTCTGGATGGCTCGTTACAACTAGCCATCGACCGCATGCATGCTCTTGCAGGCACTCTCATTGACTGTTGCGCCCTATCCGTCACAGACTTTCCAAGTCTACAAAACACATGTAAATCGAATCAATGAACTCCCACGATTTCTCAGCAATCTGGCGCAGGGCAAATATACGGACAAAAGTGCGTCGACCGGGCCAGAAGCCGTAGCAAGACCATTGCCATTATGACTTTAGAACTATTACGCTTCAAATGTTACCGGTCATTTTGATAAAGTCCATGCGAGACACGGAATAAGGCAATAGTTTTCTTGTCTTCGCTTGTCTAATTTTATCATAATGCTGAAAAAAGCCACTGAACAGTCATATGATAGCAACTAGGAATTGAGTCAGTCTTCGCATCGCAAGAATTTAATTTCTGACACATTACGTCAAGTGTTCCGTGCAATTCAGCAGATTGCAAATCAGCTGAGATTTTGATATTTCGTATTCGAAGATAATCGCATTTAAATCAGAAACTCTACGAATAACATTTTTTCAGCATCGGATGAGAAACAACACGACCAGTGTAATTTAATCCACACCAGGAAATGGAAACATAGTTGGCTTTGCGTCTGGGTGCTTCTCGTGCCATTGCTTGATCTGTGGTAGCGCTTCAAACTTTGTCATGAACTGCGTCAGGTGTTTATATGGACATAAATTTATCTTCATCCAGGTCTTGCACAAGTCCAGCAAGCTGTAAACGAAAAAGTCGGCCCAACAGATCTAAACAAATAGCGTTACTGTTGATAGCACTAGTAGAGTTCATGCAATGAGTCCATCAGAATGCTGACAGTAAACAGCAGCATATGTATGAACAACACGGTGGCATTTTCTGAAATGACCTCATTCGGCGTCTAGCACCGATCACATTGAACCATCTGAATATCAGGCGAGCGCTGGGAAAACGAGCTGACAGCTGTTGCATTGCATGCCCCCTGGAGAGAACAAAATCTTCGAATATTGCACACTTGTTGCAGGCCGCCTTCAATTGGTTATGCTAATCCCCCGCTTGCTGTTCACAAAATACACTCTGTACGAGAAAACTAGATGAAATGTTACAACTGGTATGTAGCTCACAGCAATGTTGAATCACACGTGAAAATTTCTTCATCATATCCTGGAACAAATTGAAAGCGAGAGCGAATTTAACTTTCACTAGAAGGAAAGCTGAACTTTACAATAAAGTGACCTGCTGATATGATAAACAACAATAGATACCTGAAGATCAATCAGAGAAAAAAAACATTTCTGAGACAGAGGTTTTGATTGCCAATGATAATGACAGTTAAGTAACTGGATATGATCCAGGATATTGAAAGATAATCAGCTACAGATCGAAAGCAAGGAAAGAGCCTAAGAGTGATGATTCATCACATAAGTTCTTTAAGACGAATTCCTTAACTGCAGGATGTTTAGAAATGACACAGCACTGATACTCAGCCCAAATCCAGTCGTAGCAAGAGTCAGATTAATATCAGAGAAGCGACGAATCTGAAAACTCGAAAAAACGTGGATCTAACATTGATGAAATATTAAATGAACGGTATAATTCATGAATTCGCTGTGTGCCATTAATCTGGCATATTTGTAATGGATGATAACAGGTATAATTTACGTGAGCGTGAACGTGTACACGCCATGGAGCATGTTATCAGCTATTTAGAACTCGGACAGCATTATACTTAAGTTCTGATGGCGCTGTTAGACTGAATTTCACCTCCCCGTCGCGAAGGACATTATTTTATTCGTCCGCCGTTATTATCAGTCTAAGATCATTCTATTTCATATTCAGTTTCTTTTTGCGAACGAGGCATTATTCACCGTTCCGTGAGAAAGTGAAGGAAAAAGTGTTCCTGCACTCTTCGGAAAATAAGATGGCCTGTTGACAGTATGCTTCCATCAACAAGTGAAAGGAGTACAAAGAGAAAAGTCACAATTATTTGTATAGAAACTAATGCGATTAAACTAACAAGTTGAGGAATTCGAGTTCAGTGAAAGGTTTCAAGTATCAAATCCAATTCGAAAGTCAGACATATATGAAACGCTCTGCATGAGGGTCAGCTTTATGGCGGGAAAATGACAGTTTAGATTCGCGTAACTTACTTCATAACAAACATGCATTAAACGATATGCAATTTGGTCAATGCCACACTGTTGTCGCAAGATAAACGACCAGGAGCCGATTCATGTGCACCAGTGAATAACACTAGCCGTCGTTCCTGAGAATCAGTCAAATTTCTGGCATATTAATTCCTATTCAGTTGTCAATTGCTCATGCTATCCTGACAGAGGCCGTAGATGTGCAGCAAAAGTTTCCAATTAGAGCACAAGAATTGCGCCACGATTTCTAGCTACGAGTTCAACATGAAAATTGCCACGTCAGAACTTGGTTAAATAACTTTCAGTCAATCATGGAACTAGCTTCAGAAGGAAAAGAAGAGGTGTGAGTCCCAAGAAACATCCCATAGTAATTGAAGCCGAATACGAAAATAACTTTGCGGCATTGCAACACTGCATCGTCAAAAATATGAAATGGATTACCACCATACCAGCTCAGTCTCTGCAGAAAGGAACTTCGGATTAATATACATCAAAGATATCTAGCGCTTCCTAGTCAGCAGGTGTTTAAACAGGAACAATGCCATGAACCAGAGCAACTGAGCATCAATTATGAATAAAAGCGCGCCAACATGCATCCTTTCTCGGTACATTATGATTCTGAACTTGATCCAGACAGTAAGACTTTCAAGAAATCTGTTTTTATCATTTACCATTACAATAAATCAAATGCGGCTCTAAACGTCGGTGATTTATGTATTAAAATCTATTGTGGAGCAATGACGTAAGAAGTATGAAACTCATGGAATGATATAACATTTTCATATTTCCACGCATAAATAATGACCTCTAATAATATTTGACAGTTTTATTCCATGCCTTTAACCGTGTCGTACTTTAATCTATTGAAAGTTCTCATCGTGAACAGCGATCATAGTTTAAATTTGTATTTACATCCACGAATTTCAGGAAACATGAAATCAGATGATTATAGATTAGCGGAAATGCTCTGCAGCAATGAATCGGCGAGAAAATCAACATCAGTAAATCAATGCTATAAGTAGCTAAATAAATATCCATTATCAAGTTCCGCTAATGAACGGAAAAATTACGTAATTATTCCTACCTGATCATTACCGAAGTAGCCGCACTTGCTCTGAGACAAATACTCGTCGTACTTCTTCAGACGGGGTTCAAGAATATTACTGATAGCTTCTTTCATCAACTGTTTCTTAAAGAAAAGCGTTGGCACGTTTGAAGACGAGTTCGCCATTTTTTCTGCCAACCTGTCGGTCTTTGTCTTTCGTATTAAACACCTGTATTAATTTAGGTGTGAAATCAAAGTAAGCGGTCACCAGTTCATCAGCCTTCGCTTTGTCCCACTGAGTCTTCGGCATCAGACCTGTGAATGGAGAACATGTCCGAAGCAACGGCAGGCGGATACTCACCAAACTGTTCCCCCAAATAACGCATGATGCAAGCCGACTGGGTCAGCTGTTTGCCGTCCACCTCCAACAGCGGCACCTGTCCGAAAGGCATGTCTAAACGCAACAGACTGAGGAACCGGTGAACCTAGCCAATCAGGTAAACCCTTACTTGGCTTTACTTTCGGCCAGTGCTCGATCGTTACGCGTACATCCTCGTACGGTTGACCGACGTACGCGAACAACAAGCGTATTGGCTCGCCCAATCCCTTGATGTCGAAGTAGGTGAGTTTGTAGTGTGGTTTACCTTGCGCCATTCTCCGGTCGAGTCCAACGATCCTCGTCCGTGACAGCTGCAGCGACAGCTTGGTAACGGCCACCACAAACTGACGCTCCCATTTTATAGCAGTTGCTCCGACCAACCGCTCTTGTCTTTTTTACTGTGGTTTGTGTCAGTTGACGCTGGCAGCAAAGCGTTAAAGATCGAAAGATACTAAAAACCTGTCTTTGCCATTATCTTTGCGCTGCTGCGCCGTTTAGTTTTTTGGTGACGCCGCATAACGCTTTCTTGAATGTGTTAAGAAAAGAACAGAAAAATTTATAACCGTTGGGGTGCCGGCCTTTTGTACACTTTCATGGTGGGGCCGTATCTGGCGCCATTCTTTCCATGAAGGCAATGGTAAGGTGCCGATGTTCATTTCCATGCCATCAGTCAGGAGTGCTTTAA